ACTTTACAGTAATCTTTATAGAAAAAAACAAAAACAAAAGAAACAAACAAGACACATAATCGCATAGTTTTCACTGACTTTAATTCATATAGTTCTGATTATTTAGCTCCTTTGAAGTTCCACACATAGAATCAAATACAAAGGCCTAATATTTAGCTTTTAAAGAAAACAAAATGAAATAGGTAAAAAGAACACTTGCTTACCCATCTACCAAAATAAATATTATGTGGATTCTCAGGGATACAGTTCGGGTCCAAACCATAATCCTCCAAAATAGAGAATATATGCTGTGGCTTCTTTAAATTTACTTTTCCTTCAAATGGCAGAAACTCAAGAGCCTAAAAAATAAAATTCTAATGTCCTATAAAAATTTAAAAGGAAAAATACCGCTTAACTAATAGCACATATCTTGCAAGTTTGGTATCAGCATTATATAAGACAAAACATGAAAAGTACTTAGCACACAATGTGCTACAAAATAAGCACTTAACAGACATTGAGCATTAATTGTTATATATCAACAGCAGCTAGACTACATTAGTCTCACAGGTTTTTTTAGTTTTTGCTAAATTCACTTACATCTATTCGTTTGACTTTTTCTTCTTGTGTCAATGTTTTATTAAATGTGTGAATCTTTATTTTATAGGTAGAATCTGAATGTAGAAATGGAACCTAAAATAAAAGCAGATACATTCTTTAAGCTTAGTAATTCTACTGTATCTACAGACATGCTACATAAAACCACATTTCACTACGCACCATCTTCTCCACAGGGTAGTTTTTAAGAGAACCATACAGCTCCTCTGGAGATTTTCCATGGCCCCATAGTTCAAATATGGACCTAGGAAATAAATGATTAGCACTAACCTCAGTTACGAAATTAGTTTACACAGTAATACGTAACAAATATTTCACTAGTTCTTTATGTGCACTCCACTAAAACAATTATTGCCTATGTTTTCTAAGCTGTAAATGAGAAACTTGTATCCTGGAAATAAATAAATCTTAAGTCCAAATCACACATAAACGTTGAACTTTACACAGAAGGAGACATTAAACGTAAGTCAAGATTTTTCCAAGTTTTCATCATTATATTTTTGTGCTACAACACAAATGGTGCAGTACAATCACTGAAGTTATTTTAGTGAAACAGGTGAAAAGCTGCAGGAAATCCAATTTTTCCCAACGTCTTTCCATAAAACAAAAAGAAAAATGGCCAGATAAAAACAGTACTATTAATATTTAGCTATTATTTAGTAACTAACAATTACTTTTATAACTATTACAAAAAAATTCTTACTATAAAAAATATTCTCAAGCTTCCATTGATTTCAAGGAACATTTAAATAAGTACAAGCAAAATTTCATTGCAATCAATGAAATAGTTCTTAGAATTGGTTATAAGGGAACTCAATCTATATATTAGCAATTTATGCATCTAGATTCAAACTACTCTATAATTGTAATTAACACTGCCACTAGAATTGAGAAGATTATCCTTTGAAAATGAATTCCTCCTTTACTTTGTATTGACTTTATAGAAAAAGGGCCTCTACAGTAATTCTACTCTTACTTACCTATCACTTAAGAAGTGACCTCAGCTACACAAAACACACAGAGAATAAAAAGCAACAAAAAAATTATTCAAAATAGATGTCCCAAAATTCCGAGTTTTAGTTTTTTTTTCTTATTCTTAATGTTTAAAAATTATAATAAGCTTGGTCAATTCATTCATTCAACAAGTATTTATTAAGGATGACAGGAATTGTTCTAGGTACTAGGACACAGCAAAGAACAAAGCTCACTGCCTTCATGAAACTCAAAGGAAAAGAAAGACTTCT